GAAGCAAGCGGGGTCGAGAGCCAGCTTGAATCGGCCCTGCCTCGGGAGCTGGTGCTTGGAGAACCCTTTCTACTTCTTCACATCCTTTCCTTCCTGCCCGCTGCTGACTTGGGCCGAGCTACTCTGGTCTGCCGCCACTTCTACGCAGTCGGCGCACAAGATGGCGATTACTTGTGGCGCAATCTGCTTGCCCAAGACCGCAAGCTTGAGGATTGGCGCGATGTGCGGCGCAAGGAGACTGCCCGAGCATACGTCACCAACGATCGGCTATTTGCCAGGGCCTGGCAGAGTGGAGATCTGCAAGTGGTGACGCTGTCTGGCCACAAGGTGCGCCTTCCACACAAACATTTGCGTGGCTGCAAATGCACATCTTCTGCAGAATCAAGTTTTTCTCAATCGAATGTGCGCACCAGATTTGCAAGCTTGAGAGTTGCGGGCCGTTCCTTATTGGGTTCAAGATGGTGGAGCGCACTTCACCTGAGATCATGGTATGGGACTTCTTTCGCGAGCGCCAAGGTCCAGTGGCGCCTTTGGGCCTGCCTGGCGGCAGCCGCTTGCAGTTCGTCGGCTCCCCGGTGCCGCTGCACATCATCCCTTCGCTCAACCCTCCCGTCCACCTCCGAGTTGAAAGGTATCCCATCCCACCTTGCTGGCCTGATCGCGTGTCCTTGCACTCATCTCTGGGCAACACCCTCCCTGTTGCTAGAAAGAGGAGAAGGGACGACATGGAAGCCGATGACGTCGAATCGGAGGTGCAGCACTTGGTAGTGGGCACCTTCCACACCAACCTCTATCACTCGCTCCGAAACGACTGGCCCACCACGCCCATCGCTCTTACCCGCAGCAATAGTACCACCCATGCACCTCCTTCTTCCCTGGTCCCTTCACACAAACCGGCGATGGCTAACCGCCGCTATATACACAGCGTCGTACCAGCCGTATGAAGGAGAGGAAGACAAGCACATCGTGGATCCGTATCCGCTAGAGACCAACAAGGTTGTGCTCAACAGCTGCCAGTTCACAGAGTTCCCCTCGGGTAATGCCCCGAGCCGAACGGCCAGTCCATTCCACCCGGTGTCTCATCTCTTGGTCTGTGTTCCTCATGTGCGCAGAGCTTGTGGCAACACTTCCTCGCCACAGCAGATGGACGTCAAAGCCCGTCTTGCACCACCTCGACCTCAGGTAGCCATCCGCATTGCTTTCAGCGTGCCTAGTCGATCGATCCGCTGATCTTCTCCTGCTCTGCCCCTTCAGGTTCAACAAAATTACTGCGATCCCGGACTCGGTGTTTCAACGGCTGTCGAACATCCGCGTTTTGATCTTGTCTAACAACCGCTTCGCGTCCTATCCTACTGCAATCACTCACCTCAAGGATGTATGTGTTCCTCTCTCTGCCCGGCGGTTTCACTTGCCCAAGTCACCGCCCTGTGATATCACTTCGCTTCGGAGGTCTAACTGTCACACACACACACACACACACACACACACCACGCTCTAGACGCTCGAGTTCTTGGATATTGGCGACAACAACATCCCGATTATTCCTCCGGTCATCGCCGCGCTTACAAACCTGACTTTCTTGCGGCTCTCCAAGAACCCCATCAATGAGTCCCCTTTGCCCGATCAACTTGGTACAACAATCAGCCGGCTCGCCTCTGCACTTTATCCTTGCTCCTCACCTTTCATGTCCGCAGGTTTGCTGACAAAGCTCCAGAACCTGCGGTTGTACAAAACGGGCATCAGCGAAGTGCCGCCGTGTGTGACTCGCTTGGTCAACCTGGTACAACACTCGCGACTCCCCGTCTCTGCTGGCCAGCCTAACAGTTGGAGTGGGGATGCCCGCGAGTAGATGGAACTCGACTTTGGCGAATGCAATCTGCGGGAGCTGCCCGAAGGTATCACCGCGCTGACGAAGCTGAGGATCCTGCGACTCGACAATAACAAGCTCAATCACCTGCCGGAGCACCTGTTCGACGCGTTGGACCTTACCGAGCTCACAAGCGCCGACAACCTCGGTATCAGCACC